GTACCATGGACTGCTAGGAAAACAAACAGATTCATCCTGGAAAGGGTTAAACTGGGTGGCTCCTTGGAGGCAAGGATTCTGAGGCTACATCTAACATACTTTGGACATGTTGTAAGGAGAGACCAGTCCTTGGAGAAGGACATCATGCTTGGGAGGATGGAGAGACAGCGCAGGAGGGGAAGGTCCTCTATGAGGCAGACTGATTCAGTGACTGGGGTAATTGGGATGGGAGTGTCAGAGACAGTGCAATTGGCACAGGACAGAGCAGAGTTTAGGGCTGTTGTACATAGGGGTCACTATGAGTCTCAAGCGACTTGACGGCACATAACAACAAAAACAACAACGTCCGTTGTAGTCAACTCAATGACACTCATAACAACATCAATGAGTGTTTAACCATTGTGTCACCATAACTGTTTAATTTTTCTTTAATGGGAGAAAATCTCTCTTCCAATGAGATAGAGGGTAGAGACAAGATGAAAGGCAGGTACAAGATGAAGAATTAAGGGCAAATACAAAATGGAGGACATAGACAAGATAAAAGATGGACTCGAGATGGAGATGAGATAGAAGAAAGGTAGAAGATGCATATAAGATAAAGGGTAAAGAGAAGACAGAGGATAGGGGACAGAGACAAGCTGGAAAAGGGACAATCTCCTCAAATCTCCAACCTTTCTGTTGGCAGCCAAGCATATTATCCATGCATCATCTCAACTCAAAACTCAAGCTCATTGTCATCCAGTTCATTTCACCGACTCATAACTGCATGGCTAGTGGGTTTTCAGAAGTTGTAAACCACATGGGAAAAGACTACCTATCTTGCTCCCAAGGAGCATCTGATGTACTTTAAATGTTTACCTTTGGGTTTGAGGAATAACTCCTAACTAGTAGGCCATCAGAACTCCCTTCCAGAGATTCAAAAAAATGCCATCATTTTTAACTATGTGTTCACAGTCAAGATATATTTAGCCAAGTAGAGCTAAAATTCTCTATCTCCAAGGTTGACTGAAGACTGGATTAGATAATGTACGCAAACTTTCAACCTTTTCCCTCATTCCAAGTCCAGAGGAAATTATTCTGAAATTTACAAAATGTTCAGTAAATGTATAATGATGTCATTTTTAACAGGATGGGACCTCCAAATCTTTCTCCTTCTGAACAGTAAGTTGGAAATGATAACTTTTCAGTGAATAGCCCAACACTTAACCTTATGCCACCAAAGTTCCTAGTGACATTTAGAGGTATAGGAACTGGCCCTTGCAAATATTTTGTCCCAATTTGCACATCTTATGGATGACAGAATAGATATGTCTTGGAGAAGGTGCAACCAGAGTGCTCTTGGAGGCAAGGATGGCAAGGCTTCATCTCACATACATTAGGCATGTTGTTGTTGTTGCTGTTGCTGTTGTTGTTGCTAAGTGCCATCAAGTTGTAGACTACTCATAGCAACCCTATGAATGAAAGACCTGAACCCTTGTATAACTTTCGTTGTTTCTCCACATTCATAGAGTTTCCAGAGGCAAGTCATTTTGGAAATGGATAGCACTACTGCTTCTAAGCCCCACCAAACACTGTCCACTATGGGTAACCATTATTGCAGTTGACACATCAGTGTCACTGTGTTTAGCATCACAGCAACCACAAGTTACCTCTATACAGCAAATGGACAGACCAGTGATATACTGCTGACCAAAATAATTATTTTTATTAATTTCAGTGAACATCTACAGAGATTTTGGACTTCCATTCATTAATTGTTGTACTTTTCTCCCCACCCACTGCCCCCACCCTCAGTTCGCTCTTCTTGAAAAGCCAAAGAAAAACTCCTTCATTGGTATACAATACCCCACCCCCACCCCCACGCTGAGTATACTCCACTCTGCAACCCTCATTCCAGATTCTTATGACAATCATAATGCCCTAAAATATATTACTTTTAAACTATTCTCTCCCTCATCGGCTTCAATGCAGTAAACATAATTTATCCAAAAGCATTTTTACATCGGAGGCCGAATCATAACATAATCACACCCATTAACAAGTCAACATTCCACCCTAATCCTCACCAGAACCAGCAAACAAACCTCTGAAGAATCTGTCTGCTGCAGACAACTTCCAAACTGGATTCCAGCCCAGGCATGTTGTTAGAAGGGGTTCTTTCTTGGAAAGGGACATCATGCATGGAAAGGTGGAGGGTGAGCTAAAGATGGAAGAACCTTAGTGAGATGGGTTGACACAATAACGGCAGCAGTGGGCTTATGTATGTTAGAGTTGATGAAGATGGCACAGGATAGGCCAGGATTCAGATCTATTCTTCACTGGGTCACTATGAGCCGTATTCGATTTAACAGCACATAAGAACAACAATATGGATGGTAGAACAACACTCAAAACCCAACTCTTCCTTCTTCAAAATTTCTTAGTCTTTTTACTCTGTATCAGAGCCACTAACCAGCTGTGCCTTTGTCACTCACTTCTTTTCTTCCAAATTTTGCAGACACTTACTTGTGCAAACCATTAACACGCAGCCGTTCACTGAAAGGTTGGAGGTTCAAGTTCATCCAGAGATCATTCAAAAGAAAAGCCTGGGGGTCTACTGAGAAAAAAAAAAACAGTCATTGATTACACAATGGAGCACAGTTCCACATTGACTCGTGAGAGGTTGCCATGAGTTGAAATTGACTCTGCAGCAATTTGAATTGGTTTTTCAAAACCTTGACCTTGAAACCTCACCTTGAGATCTTACCTCCCAGCAGGAAACCTGGGGGAAAAAAGTCCTTCCTAAGCAGACCACTGGTGGAGCTGTTCTCTGGCACATTTCCCACTGCCACTCCCAAGTGAACATTCCAGTATTGACTCTCAAAAACTAGGAACTACCTTTTCTTTTAATCTTCCCCTCACTGTTCACATCATCACTTATGTTTTACAGAGTCATTCTTTAAAATATCTTACACAGCTGTCCTCTCCTTATCACACTAATGTCCTTGGTCTTTCTCCTCTAGAAAGCAAACACAAAGACAAAGCAGTCTACTAGACACACAGAAACTAGATCTAAGGTCAATTGAGCTCCTCTAAAGTACACGTGGTGAGATGCAAGTAGGGAAAACCCAAGGTGCTGATTTTTGTGAGCAAAACCTTGGCTACCTTATGTAAACAGGTGTTACTGTTGAATCATCTCAAAGCTGTCCATGCTTTCATCTTGCTTGGATTCACAATCAACAACCTTGGTACCAGCAGTCAGGAAAGTAGAAAACACATCACATTGGTCTGCTATCAGAGATCTCTCCAAAATGCTGAAGAGCGGTGATTTGAGTTTGAAAACTGAGATGCACTTGATTCAGGCCAAGATTTTCTCGGTCACCTGTCATGCATCAGAGAGCTGGACAATGAATTAGGATGAAAGGAAAAGAATTGATGCCTTTGAGTTGTGGTGCTAGAGAAGGGGGCTGAATATCCCATGAACTGCCAAAAGAACAAGCAGATATGTTTTGGGAAAAGTGGAACCAAAGTGCTCACTGGGGCTTAGTGAAGCTAAGTCTTTGATACTTTGGACATGTGGCTAGTCGAGGCTAACTCCTTGGAAAGGGATATCATGCTTGGAAAGATGAGGAAGAAGACCTCCAGTGAGATGGATTGACACTGTGACTTTACCAATGGGCTTTAGCATGTCAGAGATGATAAAGACAGCACAAGAAAGGGCAAGGTTCAGGTCGCTGTCCACAGGATCACTATGAGTCATACTCACCTTGGCAGCACCTAACAACATGTACAAAAGAATGGCACACCACTCGATTCTGTCACATCCTCACAATCTCTGCTGTCTGTGTCCCTTGTCGCGATCATTGCTATCAATCTATCTTATGGAGTATCTCCAGCTTTTTCTCCAACCTACCTTACTATGCATGATGCCTTCTTACAGGGACTAGCCCCTCCTAATAATATGCTCAAAGTAAGTAGGACAGAAGCTGACTATACTGGTGACCAAAAGAGCTTTTGGGTAGAATGTCTTCCACCTTAGATGTTTTTGTTCTTCTGACGGCCGATTGCACTTTCAATCTTCACCAGCATCATAACTCAGGAGGAAACTGGCCATCTTCCTCCAGCTGGGCAGCTGGCATATTCTAACTGCCAGAAAAGTGTGGTTTTTGGGCTAGCGGGACAACTTGCTGGGGACCATGCTACAAGAGGCAACTGAAAATACTCTTTGGTTCAACAATTTCAATCCTTAATGTTAAGCACCAAAATCACTCATCTACCTCATTTAGATTACTAAACAGACTTGCTTCAAGTACCATATCTCACACCCTAGAGAACATTTTGTGAATCTGTAGAGATGTGTCTGTGTATGCATGTGTGTGTGTGCATGTGTTTGTGTGTATGTGTGTGTGAAACTATATGCAACTATTGTTGTTATATTGTTGTTAGGTGCCGTCAAGTACAAACTATAGTGACCCTATGAGCAACAGATCCGAACTCTGTCCTATCCTGTGGCAGCCTCTCAATTGCTGGCACACTAAAGCTCATTGCAGCCGTCACTGTCTCAATACACCTCATTAAAGATCTTCCTCTCCTTCACCAACCCTCAACATTCCCAAGCGTGATGTCCTTCTAAAAGGAATTGCCTCTCCTAGCAACATGTCCAAAGTATGTGAAACAAAGCTTTTCTATCTTTGCCTCCAAGGAGCACACTCTAGCTGCACTTTCTCCAAGACATACTAGTTTGTTCTTCAGGCAATTCATGGGATATTCAACACTATTCTCTCACACCACAGCTCAAAGGCATAAATACTTCTTCAGCCATCCTTAATTATTGTCCAGCACTCAGATATATAGCAAGTGATAGAAAAGACCAAGGCCTGAATGAGCCATACCTTAGTCCTCAAACTGACATCATTTCTCCTTTATAATTGAGAGAAATCTCTTACAGCAGACTTTCCCAGTGAAATGTGTCTCCTGGCTTCCTGACTCCTAGTACAAAGGGTGTTGATTGTAGATCCAAGCAAGATTAAGTCATTGACTGTCAACACCCTGTGTCCAGCCATCCACAAACTGGCTGAGATGCCCCCCTCTTTTGACACATCTCGGACTGTGGACCCCTTCATCCTAGATGTCATCACCTACTATGTTCGAATGGGCACTCAACCCATATATTTCCAGATCTACAAAGTCAAGATCTTCTTCAGCGATGGCAGCCAGGGCCCTGCTGAGGACGTTTTCCTCACGGAGCTGAAGGTGAAAGTTCAGGACTCCAGATTCCCCAAAGATGGTTTTCTCTCCAAGAAGCGAGGTGTGGCAGAGGGCCAAGGGGCCGAGCTCTCCATCTGCTACCAGAAGGCCCTGCTCAGCCACCGGACACGAGAGATCACAGTTTCTCTGCGAGCCACTGGGCTGGTCTTGAAGGCCATTCCAGCCAATGACTCTGAAGGGCCCACCCACTTCCCTCACTCCCCTGCTCCTGCTGCTACAGACCACATATGCCTGAACGTCAGCGTGACAGAGGTTGTCAAATCATCCAACTTAGCAGGAAGGTCTTTCTCCATAGTGACGAACACCTTCCGGACGGCCAACATCCAGATTGAGAGCCAGGAGCAGAGGCTGCTGATGCTGTCACTAGACAAGGACAATCGGCGGACCTTCAAGGACGTGATCAGATTTGAGGTTGCTCCCTGCCCAGAGCCACGTTCTGGGGCCCAGAAGTCCAAGGCATCATGGCGCAGTTCTCACCGACAGAAGGAGACAGAGACCATCAAACCCACACCCAAGCCTCTCCTAATGCCCATCAACACATTCTCTGGCATCATCCAGTGAGCCTCAGGGGGCAAAGGAAGAGCAGAGACCAAGAGCCAAAGGCCCCAAGGAAGGATACACTACCCACTTAGCAACACAAGCCTCGGCTCTCTTGGGCGGCTGAGGTTCTGAGCAGCAATGCCTGAAGCAGAAAGCCTATTCGCGTCCATGGTGGAGAACGATGAGGAGGACCAGACAGGCGGAGGAGTGCCTGAGGGAAGATAACTGCCTCACAAGTGACACATGCAAAGCCTGACTCATTGCCTGAACATCCATGCCCCGTTTTCTGCTCAGGCACCCTACCTATCCCTTAAACCAATGTTTACAGCTGCTGTTTACTCACAACCCTATGACCCAGGAGAAAATAAGGAACAGAAAACGGGACCTCCTCTGTCCCAGGTCGGTTCCCTTTTATCTCTTGGGCCACTGCCCACCCTAACCCACTCCAGTTATGAGGGGCGATGTCCCCTCCAATAAATGCACACTAAATATTTAAAAAAAAGTCATTGACTGTTTCAATATTTTCTCCACCTATCATGCAGCTGTGGGTACACTATTTCAACAATTTCTACATGGACAAGTAATACCGCTTACATTCTTCAAGTTATACCACTAATCTAGCTACCCATTTCCACATTATTACTCCACTACCTTTTAATTCTTTGTCACAATGTTGGGAGGTACTACTGAGAGTGGGTAAATGGGTAACAGGCTGGGCCTGCACAACTGGGAAAAACAAAACCAGTCTTGGTCCCATGCAGCTCTCCAATATATTGTAAGACACAGATGGAGATGAAAATATCTGTTTATCATTTTCTTCTTCACCTATAAATTCAAAGTATCTTTTGCACATACACATTCAAGCTTCTTAAGGATGCATTTAAAGGGTAACATCACTGTGCTTTATTTTGAATTTTACCAAGAGTTGCTCATTGTCTTGCAAAATATTTAAAAGCAAAGCACCTTCTACAACAATGAATGAATGGAAATTCAAAGCCTTTGTAAATTTTCACTGAAATTAATAACAAATTTAAATTTAAAAAAAATAATTAAGTTAGAGTAAGGATGGCAATGGATTTATAACTGCTCAAGCTAATAACACTATATCGTG